GGCCGCCATGGGGCGCGGCCAAGGGGTCATGGGGCATGTCTGGAAAGCAGCCCATGACATAACTTATGATTAAAGGGATTACACATGGTGGAGTTACTCCTATTGGAGTTATGGTCTCCCATAACATTTCTCTTCTGCTCGTGTTAATCTCCATTCCCTATTAGAAAATTATCGTAATGTTTTAGGCTATAAGCGTGAAGCCAAAAAGGCCACCAAAAGTTAAACTCTTTATACATAAATTTCTAATGTTTAAGAATTAAAGTGCGAGAAATATTAGATTGATGTTAGCTAATTGTCAAGTCCAATTATAGTTTACAGGATTGGAAAGAGTTAGCTCATGCTACAGTACCTCCCTTCTTCTTTTTTTTCCAATACCGCGCACTTCCACATGCTGCTAACCCAAATGAGATAAAACTGAGAAGGTTGAACACTTGAACTTATCAGGTGAAAATTGATTTCAGTTACTTACAAGCATCAAAAAATTAAATATTATCATAAATATAATAACAACGACCCAGTATAGTCCCACAAGTGGGATCTAGGTAAGATAATGTGTATACAGACAGTTGTTTCCAATAAACCCTCGCCTCAAGAAAACAAAATATATATATATATATATATATATATATATATATATATAAAGCTGGGAATATGAAAGATGATGTGACATCTTCCTATGCCCAGCAATTGTATTTATCTATTTTTTCCTTTTTTTGGACAATTTTTCATTTTTATTCCCTTTTCTTTATTTTCGGCATTTATATGCTTTGACTAACAAAAATGTAACTGTCCCTCTTTAATTTTTTCCACACCACGAGTCGCTGTTTTGCTTCTCTCAATTAATAAAAGTAACCGACGCTTTCAACCAAAAAAAGTAACTGACGCCTTCCATTCTTCGTTCTCTCCCTTACGGTTGTCGCATCTATTTACTGAAAAAAGAAGCCTTCATCTCATCTCATTCTTTCTTCTTCTGTCGTTGATTCTCAATTCTCTCAAATTTTTCTCCTTCTCACGTGATTGTCCAATTGTTGATTTGTGAATGGATCTCTTGATATTTATATGCAGAGTTTCTTGCTTTTTAGTTATCCTAATTATGAGTTTATATATTGATTTTTAGCAATATTTTGGGTATGATTCTGCATTTTTTGGATTCTCTATGGGAGCCTTTATGGTGTCACTCCAGTATTTTTCTTTTTCTATTTGGTTTTATTCTTTGTATTTATAAGAATAGTAAAAGGAGCTAATCAAGGAAAAGAAAGTGTGTGTTTTATTTTGTAGTTTTGCAGAAGTGATTGCAGGAGGAAGATCGGGAATATGACTGGTGTGGAGACTGGAGAGTAAGAAAATTGGAGAAAGATTCTTTGACAATACTTTTGATGAGGTTTTGCTAAAAAGAATAGATATGATGAATAGGGAGATAGACATAGAAACAAGGTGAAAAGAAGATGATTAAGGAAAAGTAGAACTAATCGTTTTATTTGCCAAAAAAATGGGCTCATATACTGCTGTATTTCAACTCGCTTCAACTTTTTCATGCTTCCCCTTGATGGTTCTGTTAACATATTTTTTGCTCAATTTTAGTGCTTTTTTAATCTATTAATTTTGAATCTAATGTTTTGTTCTTTGATTGGGTGGTGATGAATTTAGAGGTAAAGAAGAGTAATAATATCGGTTCCTCCATTAACATAAGATAAGTGTCACTAAAATTGGTTTTCAGCCATCGGAAATAAACTAACAAAATAGTTAGAGTGTGGATTTCTGAATTATGACGCTATGTGGCAACAGTAATTCCTTTAGATCTGTTGAGACAAGCAAAAGTATCTTACATGGTGAGTGATCTTGGGTAGCAGGCTTAATATGGTTTGCTATCATACCGAGTCTTTTTAATATATATCATGATTAACGTTATTCACTCTTAACTGGTGATTTAAAGTATCAGCTGTGGCATTTTAATTGCCATTTTAATATCACTACTTTATACCGTTTCTGATTGGTGGTTGAAAGTATTAACATAAAATGTTTAACTAAGAAATAGAAAGGTCATAAATCAAAAAAGAACAAACAGGAAAAAGCTAAAAAAAAAGGAACAGGTGACAAAAATGCAATTCAGTGGAGTGACACCGCTCCTTGCGTCCCACTACTCACTTATTTCCTTTGATTGCTGTTCTTTCAGTTTTAGATATTTTTGTTTCCCATTTCATTTTATGTTATTTGAATTTAACTAAATTTTAAAAAAGTCAAAAGTTCTACCATCTAATCTAAATGAAATAAATATATCAAAATATCTGAGCACATATAATTAATAACAAGTACAATAAGAATCATATATTAAAGTTGCACATAAGTGTGCACACATATTCTTTTTATTTTATCTTTTAATAAAAAAATATGTAATGACAAATGCGGTACATCTAATAAATTTTTTAGTGTTTGTAACTTAATAAATTATATAAAATTAGTTAACATATCATGAAAAATTTCGTATATTCCATCTCAAATATAGTTATAGCAATACCAATGACTAATTAATACAACCGTGCAAAGCGCAGGCTACTTCACTAGCATTATCATAAATGTTACACAAAAAAATAGAGCCTGTATTTGAATGAAACTTCACCTTTCAAACAAATCCCATCAGGCATTCATGCGTTTGGGCATGACGGAAAATGAAACGTCATTTTCTGATAAGTAAACACTAGAAAATGATGGATAACCAAATACCCCAAATTAAGAAACTTTTAGGAGCTTTACAACCTAGGGTACCTCCACAATTACCCGATGATCAAAATATCAACAACGCCAGCATCCCAACGCACGAGCAACCTAATCATCTTCTATGTTTGCTGCTAAAATAAGTTCAACAGCCACTAGCGGAAAAAAAAACCCAGGTGTTCCGTCTATCTACAAACATCTAAAAGGAACTAATATTGCTGAATGATGGTAACAGCAACACAAAAATTGGAAGCAAAAGCTCACTTCTCAAAGTTACGTAGGTACAACTTCAGCATCATCAGGTGAAATCTGCAAGAGAAACAGCCCGACTACCAGCAATACCAACTGTATTAAAAAACAGGTGCTGTACTTCCAGACTCTCTTCTGCAGTTTTAGCATTTCATCTGTGCTCATGATATCTTCACAGCAATTTTCCAACTTCTTAGCCTGTGTTTTAAGCGTTGCAGCCTTTGATTCTGCATCTCCAAGATTTTTCACAACCTGCGCTTGTTCTGAAGCTAATGTTTTTTGTTCTTCCAAGAGCTTAACTTGTTTAAATGCTTCAATTCTCAACTTTTCAACTGTTCTTGATATAGTCAAATATTGTACTTCAGCTTCAATTTTCTGTCTGAAGAGACCCTCAAGCTCAATTTCAATATCTCTAGCTCTCTCATGCGACTCAATTCCAACACTCTTTTCTTCCTTCTCTGAGCAATTACTTAAGATGGATTGCAGTTCGGTAACCCTGGCTTCCTTAAACTTAACCAGCTTAGCTGCTTCATACAAGTTATTTTGCAGCAGTGTCACATTCTGCTTTAAGCTAACCACTTCAGTATCCAAGTCAAAAGAATGTTGCATGCCATTCCTGGATTGTGACGGCTCAGATGTGCTCGGTCCTGGGAAATCTCCACCACCTGAAGTGAACTCTGAAGGTATTCCAACATCCTGAAGTGGTTGGTCAATGATAAAATCTTTGTTTCCAATTTCTCTGAATCTCCAAAGTTCTGCGGAGAAAGTGCATCAACTAAACTAACGCAACTGGATAATGAAGCTCCAACGAGTAACTGATTTCTGAAAATAGAGAATGAACTATATTTCTACCAAATTTGTTAAAAACAAACATGGGCAACCCTGAGGACTATGCTAATACAAACAAAGGAAAACCCAAGGGCAGCTCGGTGCACTAAGCTCCCGCTATGTGCAAGGTCCGGTGAAGGGCCGGACCACAAGGGTCTATTGTACGCAGCCTTACCCTGCAAATCTACAAGAGGTTGTTTCCACGGCTTGAACTCGTGGCCTCCTGGTCACATGACAACAACTTTACCAGTTACGCCAAGGCTCCCCTTCAAACAAAGGAAAACCAAATGCAATGGAAAAATGAGAGTGAAACAAGCTGGTCAATGGTTTCAAAGTCCCAAATATGCTTTTAGATCCAACACTAATGACTTCAACACATCCTTACATGGAAATAAGATGGTGAGTTAACTGAGACCCTGAGCTACTTAGGCCTCTGTCCACTAGATTCTTTGGAAACAATGAAGCCTTCTCATAACTATCAAGCTCACATAGCACTTTTTGCCTCTGCATAGTCCACTTTATCTACTGTTTCAAAGGAAGACCTCCTTTGATGTGGCAAGATTGAACAGGCAAATTAAACAAAATAATTGCAGAAGAATCAACCAAACATGTGAACTCATCTTTTATTTACTTGAGAGTGTTCTATAGCCAAATAAGTCACTTTTATAAATCATAATTAGTCCATTTGTGCGATGAAAGATCATATCTACTACATTTTCTTAACATAATCGTTTTGATTTGATAATGACTAGTTCAGATAGAAAATACTAATTTATAATTTTAAACATNGGGGAGTATATCCAAATTACATGGCCTTGTCAGACAAGTCCGTGAGAGGAGGGGTGGGGGAATTGACAAGCTCAATAGTTCTGAGAGAAGGGGGGAGGGGGATGGAGGAACAAGATGGCTGAATCATCTAAGATGCCACAGAAGGCTGGTTTTTGACCTATCACATCACACAATGGAGGAGTTCTTGGAGCCAAAAAGGGAAGTTGAAATCTCAATGCCATGGTAACGTCTCTCTTGCATAGAGCCCTTAACAGAACACCAGGCTAATACTACATTAAGACCCGAATATTCACTAAGCAATAAAGTAAACCCTCAGCGGCCAGATCGTGGGCATGAATGCCATTCTTGCTATGGGGTTGCTAACCCCCAAGGACAACATTCAAGACCAATTGTAGCCCAAGTACGTTACCAAGTGCAGTTCAACTGTAACAACAAATACAGACTCCTAGCATTAGAATTGCAGTGCTTATGAAGGAAATATTATTCAATTCTCTCACAGATCCCGCACCAGCAACCTGCAAGTTAAAGTGCTTTACAGAGGTAATCTAAGCTTTCAGAGATCCTTATTTGCAAAGCT